GAAATGGCTTCACTCTGATTGGCTTCTCTTGCAGATGTACTAAGTAGGAAGCAGAAGGAAATTATTTCCAAGGCAACTGGTTGTGACTATCAGATTCGTTCCATTAAGTGCCCGAAGAGTAGCATTTACCGGACCATTACTGGAGAATGCAACAACAGGTAAAGCATTGATTTTTCATGTATAGTAGAGAGCCTCCAGCCTACATAATGTCCACTATAGACACCTTAAAGTTGTCAGTACAATACCATTCCACCAAGCAGAAAAAATTGTATTAGTAGTTATTTGTATTGTGTTAACACTGAGGGGCCCAAGAGAGGTGCTGTACAAACACATAACAAAGAGACTTTAATCTAGAGGAGTGTAGCAGGCTTCACTCAGGGGGCTATTGGTCAAACTGTGGACAAACAGTCTCTCCAAGACTTGAGGCTGGTCTTCCTGGCAGTCCTGGGGCCCAGCAGCCAAGCCACCATTCATCGCCCCCCGGAGTCCTCTAGTATCTCTCAGGAGGCTGGGGAAAGAGGGATGGATAGGGGGACCCGGGCCCTCCCTCTCCATCAAATCCCAGTGAAGGGCCTAATGGAGAGAGGCAAGGGATGGCTCAGTCCCTTCTGACTGCCATTCTGGATCAGGCTCCCCCGTATCACTTCCTACCTTCTTGTTTCCCTTCAGTTTGGGGCATGGCCCAGCCTTCTGCTTACACCGTGTTGGTAATTCAGGGCTTCAGCTGGGGGTGGGCAGCGATGCTTCCCAGCTCACCCTTGGAATCCAATTGTCCCCTCTTAGTCAGGGGAAAGGGGATCCCAGCCAGCCCCTGTCCTTCCCCTGTAGATTGCTCTGCCTCAGAGGCTGCAGCCTGTCTGCCTTCTTGCAGCCAGTGTCTCCTCCATGCACCCCTCTGCCAGACTGCCAGAGCTCCCTTTTAAGCAGGTCTTCCATAGCAAGCATGCCCAGCAGCTGCTGAGGAGCAGGGCCTTCTTGGCCCAGTACTGTTCCACCATTCCTTTTACCATCGTGTGAGCTCTGTAAACCCCATCACAAGGAGGTTTGGAATTTCTTTAAGTCAAAGGGGCAAAAATGATCTGGAATTTGCATTCCAAGCAAAGGGCAAAGCTTGTAGGGAAGATCTCCACACGTAGTTAGATGAATAACCACCTCAAAGTGATACTAGAACTAAGACGACAGTGTACAAGGAATCATAGAAATGTAGGACTGGAAGGAACCTCAAAAGATCATTAAGTTCATCCCCTCTGTGCTGGGGAAGGACCAAATAAACCTAGACCATCCCTGACAGGGGTTTGTCCAACCTGTTCTTAAATGACAGGGGCTCCACAATCTCCATTGGTAATCTACTCCAGTGCTTAACTATCCTGATAGAAAGTTTTTCCTTATAGCTAACCTAAATCTCTCTTGCTGCAGATTAACCTCATTGCTTGTTATCCTAACCTTAGTGGCTATGAAGAACGATTGATCACCATACTTGTTTATAACAGCCCTTAACATAAATGAAGGTTCCCCTCAGTCGTCTTCTCCAGACTAAACATGCCCAGTTTTATTAAACTTTTCCTCATAGGTCAGTTTTCTAAACCTTTTTTCATTTTCATGTTCTTCCCAGACTCTCTCCAATTTGTCCCCCTCTTTCCTACAGTGTGGCATAGAACTGGACACAAGACTGCAACTGAGGCCTCCCCAGTGCTGAGTAGAGCAGAACAATTGCCTCCTGTGCTTTACATTTAACGTTCCTAGCAATACAAACCGGAGTATTAGCCTTTTTGGCAACTGCATCACATAATTGGTTCATATTCAATTTGTGATCCAATGGAACTCCGGTATAGTTTTCTGCAGTATTACTGCCTAGTAGGTTAAGTCCCCATTTTGTATTTGGGCATTTGATTTTTCCTTCCAAAGTGTAGTCCTTTGCACTTGTCTTTATTTAGTGTTATCTTACTGGTTTCTGACCATTTTCCAATTTATTACAGTTATTTTGAATTTGAATCCTGTCCTCCAAACTGCTTGCAACCTCTCCCAGCTTGAAAGTATGAAAGAAGGGATTGCTCAGCCGAGAAAGCTACATCTTGGTGGTCAGAAATATAGGCTTACAGAGAGACTTGCTAAAAGTGAAGCTGAGTTAGTCCTTGTAAAGGAAATTAAAGCAAATAGTAAGAGGTTCTTTAGTCATATAATGAAAAAGAGAACAAGGAAAGAGGAAGTGGGGCTGCTATGGAAACGGATATGGTAGAAATGAAAGATAATCTAGGTATGGCCCCAACACTAATGCTTTGCCTGTCTTCAATAAGGATGAGAATGTAGAACATGTGGGATTAATGATGGAAATGTGTGAATAGAAATGGATATGATCACATCTGAGGTGGAAATAAAGCTCAAAGAGCTCAATTGGCTCAAGTCAGGGGAACCAGAAAATCTCCATCTCAGAATACCAACGGAACTGGCACATGGAAGTGCCAATCCAGTAGTAAGGATTTTTACTATAGCTATCAAATTGGGGTGGTACCATGTGATGGAAGAATAGCAAACATGGTACTTATATTTAATAAGGGGGGGGGAGAGTGACCTGAGCAACTAGAAACACATTAGTCTGATCTCAATAGTATGCAAGTCTTTGGAACAAATTTTGAAGGAGGGAACAATTAAATACATCAAGGTGAATGGAACATAGCTTTACCAATGGTAAATTGTGAGAGAGACAAGGTGGGTGAGGTGATATATTTTATTGGACCCATATGGCTACAACACTGCAAACAAAAGTAGACTATGTCAGACTAACCTGAAATTTCTTGTTGATAAAATGGCTAATTTCTTACACAAGGAAAATGCAGTAGGTCTAATTTATCTGGACTTCAGTAAAATATTAGACACAGTACCACATAGGAAACTATTAACATGGAGAAGATGGGGGTTGGTACAGGAATTGAAAGGTGGGTAAGGAACTGGCTAAAGGCAGAGGACAATGGGTTGTGCTGAAAGGGAAACTATCAGTCTGGAGGGAGGTTGCCAGTGGAGTTCCTCAAGGATCAGTCTTGGGAACAAGCTTATTCAATATTTTCATTAATGACCTTGACACAAAAAAGTAGAAGTGTCTGAATGACATTTGTGGATGACACAAAGTTGGGTGGCATCTTCTAACAGAGGAGGATCGGAATATTGTACAGGAAGCACTGGATGATCTGGAGGACTGAAGTGGGATGAAATGTAATGGTACAAAGGGCAAGGTCATGCACTCAGGGACTAACAACAAGAATTTCTGCTGTAAGTTGTGGGTTGGTCAGTTGGAAATGACAGAGGAAGAGAAAGACCTGGATGTTTTACTCAGTCACAAGAAATCTGAGCCACCAATGTGATGCAGTTGTAGAAAAAGAGAAAGGTGATCCTAGGCTGTATTAGATATTTCCAGGGGTCTGATTACACTACAAGCACTACAGCGACACAGCTGCAGCAGTGCCACCATAGCACTATAGTGTAGACACTTTCTACAGCAATGGAGGGTGTTTTTTTCCATCGCTCTAGTAAATCCTCCACCTCAAGAGGCAGTAGCTAAGTTGATGGAATTTTCCAAAGCACCTAAACCAGTTACGCACCTGACTCCCTGTGACTGGAGTCCAAGGGGAGCCAGAGTGAGGTTACTTAATTAGGGCAAACTGCGAAGAATGGGGCAGACAATCCCCGAAGGTGGTGGTCATTCCAGTATTAGATCCATCAAGATAGCTTCAAAACAGCTTCTCTAATACCTGACTGGTTACCCAGAAGCCAAAACACAGTTCCCTTAAAGCAACCCAGCCTTAGGCCTCCACCCAGACATCCAAGTCAAATATGCTGAGGATCACTGAAAATTTTATTCATCATATAAGAAAGTTCTACCAGTCCCAAAGGATCGGACACATTACCTGTCAGGTTAATGACTATTTCAGCTCTTACGCAAATACATGCTATAGCCAATTCTTATTAACTAAACTAAAATTTATTAAAAAAGAAAAGAGAGAGATAGTATGGTTACAAGATCAGTATCCATACAGACACGAGCACAGTTCTGAGATCAGTTTCATAGTAGAGATGGGGAGCTTTGGAGTTGCAAAGAGTTCTTAGAATTAGTCCATAGATTCAGTCCAATGTTCATATCCAAGGTGATCCAGGTGGGATTGGAGATCTCAGTCTTACGACTTAAGCTTTTCCTACATAAAGCATCAAACGGATGCAGATAGGTGCCCAGTGGGATTTTCAAAGGCGTTTAGGCACCTAAATCCTGTTGGGTGCTCTAAACCTCTGGCTCCAAGAGCCGTGAGGGAGGTGAGTAGGAAGAGCATAGGGCAGTGGTGGGCAACCTGCGGCCCCGTGGGCCGCACGCGGCCTGTCAGGGTAATCCACTGGCGGGCCACCAGACAGTGTGTTTACATTTGCATGGCCGCCCGCAGCTCCCAGTGGCTGCGGTTTGCTGTTCCCGGCCAATGGGAGCTGCAGGAAGCGGTGCGGACTGCAGGGATGTGCTGGCTGCCACTTCCCACAGCTCCCATTGGCCAGGAACGGCGAACCGCAGCCACTGGGAGCAGTGGGCAGCCATGCAAATGTAAACAAACTGGCGGCCCGCCAGCAGATTACCCTGATGGCCCACGTGGGGCCTGCGGACCACAGGTTGCCCACCACTGGCATAGGGGCTCTTTGCCTCACCTGCAGCCAGGCTGGAAGGCTCTTGTCGATTTCACAGGCAGCCAGGAAGACCAAAAATTGCCTTTCCGCTCTCCCAAAAGAGAATGTTTCTTTAAATCCCTTCCCATGAAAAAATTCATGTTTTTGATATTTTGTCTTGGGTTGGGATGAAAACGGTTCTAAAACCACATTTTTTCATGGGAATGGATTCCCATTTTTCGGTCAGCTCTAGTTGGGAGCATAGGTCTATTGAGGATTGTGAGGCACTCATACTGCAGTGATGGAGACCATATAAGTAGCATAGATTTAAATTCTGAATTACAAATGTGAATATGACAACAACATGAGGATTGGTCCTTTTACCTCAGTAGTAACCATAGCCTGCGCTAAGAGACTTTGAGTCTTTGCCTCGGAGGGTTGTCTGTCCAGAATACAGCTGTGGCCTCTGAACCTCAAAACGATTCCTTTCTATCGTTATAGCAATTCAACTTAGGTTCCAGGGAGAAAAAGAAATTCTGCTTCTCTGCAGGGTGTGTCCTTTCTGAAATAGTTTAGTTGTTTGTTTTCTTCCCAATGTTCCAGGAAACATTCTTATTTTGGAGCTTCCAATCAAGGATATGCCCGATGGCTCCCGGCAGAGTATGAGGATGGAGTGTCTCTTCCCAAAGGATTAACTGAAGGAAAACTTTACAATGGATTTCCGCTCCCACTGGTACGAGACTGTGAGATCATTTGGTTTCTTGTTTAATCAATGACTCCCATATTTCTCTCCATGACTGGGGGGAAGTGCTCTCTGGGCAGAGGCCAAGGCCAGGCTGATGCACCGTTCAGTCTATTCTGAGGGCACATGTGAGGCTTAAGCCGTACATATGTCTTGCGCTGGGCTGTGTTGCTTGGAGCACTCCACACACCTTCATCCCTTGGCAGGTGCTGCATGTGCAGGGAATACATTCACACCGAACAGCATTTCTGTTACC